ATCGATCGCATCCTTTAACACAAGCTTGATGCCACGATCTTCAGTATCTTGCGAGTACTTCTTGACATCATTCATGACATTCTTGATGATGTTCTTGCCTTTAGTGTCAACTTGGTTCCACAGAACAGGACCGATGATGGTAAACAGTTTGCAAAAAATTTCTGCCTCTCCCGGGCGTTGAATATCTGTCGCCAAATCTTGCAGAAGTGTAAGCATGACTTTATAACGAAGTAGTTCATGCTTGTACAGTTCTCCTACAAACGTTATGAGACCAACAGACCTGCGTAGCGCGAGTTTATCTAAAGCCTCAAGTTGTTCTTCAGCGCTCCTTTTCTCTTTTTCACACTTTGACTCGTCAATTTCCTTCAGCAGCTTCTCTCGTTGAAGGATCATATCGTCTGAAAATTTTTCTTTGTGTTCAAGTTCAAGTTTAGTCTTTGTATCAGGATCCGTGCATTTCGAAATGCGATTCAAGGACTTCTGAACTCTCTTCTGTCGCTGGGTTTCTTTTTCGTGTCTCATTTCAAATTCATGTCGCCATCTTGAAAGGAGAGAATTGCGGAAAGCCATTTCTGTAGAACTACTATATCTCAAGTCCCTACAGTCAATGACATATTTGCACAGCTTTACGTACTCTCCAGCGAAGTGTTGCTCTGAAACGACTCGTTCAAAAATTAGGTTAACTATCGGCTTCATAAACTTACTATTTTTTACAATAATATTTCTGAAGGGAGTTTTCAACTTATCGTAATTTTCCGGATGAATTTGGTTCAGAAGTGCACGCAGCGACGAGAGGACTCGTTCTTCATGGAAGGATGTGTCTTCCGGACCACGAAATCTGCCGTCGTGAGGCGTCCTCGCTGATGTGTGGGGTTGAGGTCGTAAGGCCTGATCTGTAAAGAAGGGCATTTAGAGTGAGAAATTCCAGGATGACCCACACAAAAGCCAACGTGCATCGCTATTTGGACAAAATTTCTGGCATTTATTTGAGTGTGCACACAATAGAATTATTGAAGTAACGTTTTGATTATTTTGATCGTTGTAGTACTTTTCAGTGTGGGGTAAATTGTGAAATTTTTCAAAATATTTTGTTTCCAGACAATAGCGTTGATTTTAAATCAATGAATCAATAAAGACATCTCAAATTATTTGAATAAAGACAGCCACTTATCGTGTCGGGATATTGTATATAGGGGCTGTTGGGGCGCGTATCCAGGATACTTATCGTGTCGGGATATTGTATATAGGGGCTGTTGGGGCGCGTATCCAGGATACTTATCGTGTCGGGGTATTGTATATAGGGGCTGTTGGGGCGCGTATCCAGGATACTTATCGTGTCAGGATATTGTATATAGGGTATATATATTATCATGTCGATATGTTACCAGCACCTTAACAGGTATTTTGTGGGAGAATAGGTGAGGATTGGAGGAATTGAATGGAGAAAAGGATTGAAGGAAAGGGATGAAGGCAAGGATTGGTGGAAAGGGAAGAAAGGGATAAAGGGAATGCAGAAATAGGAGGAAAGGATTGGAGGAATTGGAGGAAATGATTGGAAGGAAGGGATGAAAGGGAGCAAAGGGTTAGAAGAAAGGGAAAACTGTAGTGTAGACAAGGATTGGAGGAAAGGATATTAGGGATTGAAGGAAAGGGAGGAAAGAATTGATGGAAGGGGAGGCAAGAATTGGGGGAAATGGAAGAAAAAATGGAGGAAATGGAGTGAAGCTTTGGAGCTTTGTGTATCAAAGAATGTATCAAATTTTCACGGCTACAGTCCGAGTTGTGGCAACTGCATGGGTCTGTCGACAGGCTTACCGCGCTTGGTCGTCGCAGATTCAAACGTTTCCGTTCTGCAGAGCTTCGAGTTTGGCACGTCTGGACAATGGTTCAACTAGTATAAGGTTGATCCATGGTTGAACTTGTATAAGGTTGACCCATGGTTGAACTAGTGTAAGGTTGACCCATGATTGAACTAGAATAAGGTTAACCCATGATTGAACTAGCATAAGGTTGACCCACGAGAAGCACATTTTTGCGGATGTAGTTTGTTGTTCGCCTGTAACGTCACTGATCTCAGTGACGTCACGAGCATTAACCAATCACCGAAATGCGATCAAACCAGTCAACCAATTCGTCATGGGAATGACGGGATAGTTTACGTTTCTCGATCTCAGTGACGTAACAATAAATATGAACTGGAAAACGATAATTCTCACGGGTCAACCTTATATTAACATAACATAACATAGTGATGTCGGCGCTAAAGTGTAGGCCTGATGGGGCCTGTCTCTTATACACATCTAGATGTGTATAAGAGACAGAGTGATGACTGTGGATACTAGCTGTATTGGAAATCGTAAAAAAATAACTTTATAGACAATAACAGAGTGGGTGAAATTGCTCAAATTGGAATGAAATACTACAATCTTTCCTCACCGCAGAGGGTTTCTATCAATCTAATTATTCTAATGCTAATGGTTTCTTTACACTATATGTANATCAACAGCTCAAGTAACAGCTTCAACAACATCAACATCAACAGCTCAAGTAACAGCTTCAACAACATCAACATCAACAGCTCAAGTAACAGCTTCAACAACATCAAAATCAACACTAAACTCGAGACTAAAGACAGCAACGGCGGCCTTTGCGTCCAAACTTAAATTTCGGCCAAAATATGAAGCGTCGGATAAAATTTACATTTCGTCCGGAAATTCCAGGACAGACAGAATCTCTTCAAAGGACAGAACGGATAAAATGGATAAGATGGGCGCAACGAATAGAATGGATAAAATAAACAGAATAGATAAAATGGACAGAACGGAGAAAATGGACAGAAGGTATAAAATAGACAAAACTGATAGAATGGGCAGAATGGACAAAACGGATAAACTAAATAGAAGGGATAAATAGACAAAACTGATAGAATGGGCAGAATGGACGGAACAAACAAAATGAATAAAATGGACAGAATGGATAGAGCCTCTCTGTACAGACAAATATATTTTGATGAATAAATATTGAGTCGCGAGAGTGAAATTGATGAATGAATTTTTACTTCATAAATATATTAAAAGTTTATGGCTTACTAGCTGTGATTCATTTGCTATATATTTAAATAAGAATTATTGCTTATTCTTTTACCTTTCAAACTTCACGGAAATTCTATAAGTCTATGAAAATATGAAGGTTTTTGTTGACATATATAGACATTTATTCATTGAATGTCTATGACATTGAATGTCGACATTGATTTTCCATACAACTTCATTCCAGTGTTTTATTTTCCAATATTTATTTTGTTAAGAACTAACAACAATTAGTGTATTTAGTTCCTAGTTAGATAGTCACTATATATATCACTATATATAATCAGTGTATATATATACTGTAATCACTATAACTTCATATAATTATTTTCATTCCATTTCATTGCACATTATTCACTTATTGTGTTGTAAAAATTTATTAAAGTCAATTATTTTTATGCTCTTTCTTCTAAAGCCTGCAATATTATTTATAATTTATGATATTAATTATTAATAAAATATAGCCGTCATAATCAATCATATGTAGAAGCGGTATAAATAATTTTTTTCAATTATTAAATCAACACCACAACACCAGGAGCGTGACTGTGATAGTGATACAAGTACAAGTAAGAAATAATGTCACGAATATATATATTTACTTTAATTACACTGTTAGATAAATTACCGTTTACGGTATTACCGGCGTTAACGGTATTACGGTAAATTACCGTTAACGGTATTACCGGCGTTAACGGTATTACGGTAAATTACCGTTAACGGTATTACCGGCGTTAACGGTATTACGGTAAATTACCGTTAACGGTATTACCGGCGTTAACGGTATTACGGTAAATTACCGTTAACGGTATTACCGGCGTTAACGGTATTACGGTAAATTACCGTTAACGGTATTACCGGCGTTAACGGTATTACGGTAAATTACCGTTAACGGTATTACCGGCGTTAACGGTATTACGGTAAATTACCGTTAACGGTATTACCGGCGTTAACGGTATTACGGTAAATTACCGTTAACGGTATTACCGGCGTTAACGGTATTACGGTAAATTACCGTTAACGGTATTACCGGCGTTAACGGTATTACGGTAAATTACCGTTAACGGTATTACCGGCGTTAACGGTATTACGGTAAATTACCGTTAACGGTATTACCGGCGTTAACGGTATTACGGTAAATTACCGTTAACGGTATTACCGGCGTTAACGGTATTACGGTAAATTACCGTTAACGGTATTACCGGCGTTAACGGTATTACGGTAAATTACCGTTAACGGTATTACCGGCGTTAACGGTATTACGGTAAATTACCGTTAACGGTATTACCGGCGTTAACGGTATTACGGTAAATTACCGTTAACGGTATTACCGGCGTTAACGGTATTACGGTAAATTACCGTTAACGGTATTACCGGCGTTAACGGTATTACGGTAAATTACCGTTAACGGTATTACCGGCGTTAACGGTATTACGGTAAATTACCGTTAACGGTATTACCGGCGTTAACGGTATTACGGTAAATTACCGTTAACGGTATTACCGGCGTTAACGGTATTACGGTAAATTACCGTTAACGGTATTACCGGCGTTAACGGTATTACGGTAAATTACCGTTAACGGTATTACCGGCGTTAACGGTATTACGGTAAATTACCGTTAACGGTATTACCGGCGTTAACGGTATTACGGTAAATTACCGTTAACGGTATTACCGGCGTTAACGGTATTACGGTAAATTACCGTTAACGGTATTACCGGCGTTAACGNGATTTTGTTGCAGGTTGGCCTGTTTTACTGGAAAGAACTTCAACTCTGATTACTATTTTCATGTTGCCGATGAGTAGACTGAAATTTATTATAGGAAACATGGGACTGATGGAATTGTGCATGTTAAACTGAAATTTATTATAGGAAACGTGGGACTGATGGAATTGTTTTATTGCAGATGAGCGAGCGGGAGGTAGCGGCCGTGAACGAGTGGATGGCGTCAGGTAAAGCGGTGCATCTCATGAGGGATCACCCGAGTCACAATGCACCCATCTTGGGGGGCATGTTCGGGGTGTACCAGCCCCCCGACATGCTTCATGTCTTCGAGGACATCCTTCATGACCTTTTCATCTTGCCTTCAAAAATTGATCAGACTAATTTAGCGGTAAGGTAACAATGGGAACGTGATGATACCAATGGCTACTAATAAATGTATAAATAAATCATTTTGCATTCAAGTTTTGATAAAATATGTCTTTTTGCATTTTATGTGTACTAGCAGTGCTATGCCACTAGCGGCAATTTAATCTTTATTGTGAGTGATGATTATTTTATCAATTAGCATGAATAACCTGACTTGTGAGCACTCAGCTGGAATCTCAGCTTAAGTTAAGTATCAGCTGGAACGGTTAACCTATAAAATAAGTATAGTATAAGTATACTATACTATGCTTATTAAAATAAGTATAGTATAAGTATACGATACTTATTTATATAGTATAAGTATACTATACTATAAATATAGTTGAATAAACATTCGTAACGATCCTGTCGGACCGCAGAGAGTGATGACGAGAAGCTTCCTAGACGAGCATGCGCTGCAGCACAGCAGCTTCCACTGCACGCTGGCCGGACGGAGCCTGCCTTTCCCGACTCAGAGACAACATGGCTTCTTTGTGGGCAACCCTTGGTGCGTGAATGCTATAAATAAGCAATGTATAAAATAATTTCATACATTTCATACTTTACTACATAACATAACATATAACATAACATATTTTTTTTTTTTTAAAGGCCACCCACACTCACCATTCCAACAAAAAAAAATAGTTTGAAGTAGCTACTAGACTTCCACCGGGTTCGATATGGTGCTAGGCATTTCAAATCTGAACATATATTTTTCCATGGCTTTATCTAGTCTCTTCTTGAACGCGTTACTACGATTTTTTTTTCGAATAAAAAATTCTGTGCACTTTAATCTAGGTACACAATTATTTTATTTTGTAACTTGTTCGCGTTTCACTATGCGGTTTTTTCTCAAGCCTGCATATTTTGTAATTTCAAAAAGCATGTATACAGGCATGTGCTAACGAATACACTCGATTTTTTATCATGTATGAAATTTTTATTCATCTGACCGGAATGCGTAGATTTTACGTTATCGATAGATTCGTATTTTTATTTTACAACCTTTCTCACATTTTCCCAATATCCAAGTTACGTTATTTACTTGTGAATAATTGTTGCCAGTCGAGATAATACGTGTTCAGAAAAATAGCTATGATTATTTTTCGCTATACCAATGCTTACTAACAATCGAAAGCTCCACTGCCCCTTCTTCCCTACCTTTTTTATGGTCCTACCAACCGTCTTATTTTAAAAATAAAATCACTTATCAGAACAATAAAGAATTATCGAATATACATTATCATTTATTGAAATCTTCAGCTATCAATTATCATCTATTAAAATCTTTAGTAATTAAGTGTTATTTATTATAATGATAACTTATCATTTGTAATTTTTATCACTTTACCATCACTTTACTAGTTGATAAGTAATTATTATTAATTACTTATCAACTATAAATAATCACATTATCTTAAGTAGACAACTTGGAGAGCGAGCTAAAAACTCTCCAAGAAGAGTCATTGGCGTATTGTAAGCGATTGCTGTATTTTCGTTCGCAAATTCATTGACGAAAAACATTATAAGGATTCAAATTCTAATTTCAACCATTTCGAAAGTATTTATTATGCACATATAAGAAATTTTGCCCTCATTATGTCCAAATAATTGAAGCTTACGTCTGGGCAGGTATCGACCAGAATATTGTTGCGCCCCAATGACAGAGGAGTGCCCACTGCGATGTCGACCAGCTGCTCATCCTGACTGGATATATTGTTAGGTAATGGCACATCACGGGTATATGCCTGTATAGAATATACCTGTATAGAATATACCTGTATAGGTATATCTTTTCTATCAAACATTCGCAAACAATAAGGTCTCAAATCTGCGCTGAATTACCGTGAAATATGATTGAAAACTCTTTATTTACCGTTGTAGACGAATTCGCATTGAGAGCGTCTTGTCGCATTATATGACATCAATCCTCATTGAAAATAATTTAACATGAAATATTTTAAACCCGCAACTTTACTCGTTATTATTATATTATATTATCGTTATTATATGAGCGCTATCTGCTCCCTCATCATTGATTGAGCTCAAGGAATCTTAAATAAAATGCGGGGTGCTGCTGTAGCGCACAGAAATTCAGTGGAGCTGGAAGTGATCCTCTGATGTGTGATGGTAAAAAATAGATCATTTAATGATTTTAATCTTTCACAAATGTGATGAATTTTTGGAAATGAATGTTCCTAAGCGTGTTCTGTTTGAAATAGTCGCCACTAAAGGCTTGCCTGTAAGTAACTATTGTCGCTATCGAAGGTCTTGTATTAGAGGAAAATAATCTGATCCTACCGTATATGAGGCTGTAAAAATCGTTTACTATATTCATCAATTAGCTGGCGTCACATTATTATGTCACTTGTTAATCTAATTTTTTCACCAATTATTGCAGGTAATATATTAATAGTTATATTCATTTCATTACCCAATTCAAATTTCATGAATTCTTACGGAAATGGCAAATCTCTAGCAATCACAACTCCAAATATCATGACTACTGTTGGAAATTCTAAAATTAAAGTTTTAAACGCCAAAGTATATACATATAAATTCGAAGCATGTTGCGCAAGAATTCATATTCAGTGTGCATGGCATGAAGTGTAGAACAAATATGAAAGCCACGGTCTAATAGTGTTTGAATCAAGTTCAACTTGGATCGACAATAATATAAGCTAAAAAATCGGGTGTTTAAGCTTTTGAAAGTCAATTTTCTCAAAATAAAAGTCTGAAAACAGCCATTAGATTTAGTAATATGGCAGTCGAGAAAAGACCAACTATTGTTAAACCCAGTTCCATGGTAAATTTAATAGAATTAAGTTGCAAGCTTGAGTATTCGATGAAAAGTTTGACATGAGAAGGGATGCTTGAAAATAAGGAAGGTTTCATCGACGTATCTGAATATATTGTAAAATGAACGAATATTCACACGCATGCGTATGAAGCCACATTACAGAGTCTTATTTTGACGGTGATGCTCGTACCGAAAAGTTTTATTTTACTCTTGACATTACAATCAATTCCCTTCAATACTCAAATGTACGTACGGCAATTCCTCTATTTACAATCTGACAGAGGTGGGCAGTAGCGCGCTACTTGTAGCGGTCGCTATAGCGGCCTGTTACTAGTGTCAACATGTCAGTTGTTACCAGAGGTAGGCAATAGCGCGCTACATATAGCGGCCGCTACATTTTAAGTAGCGGTAGCGGTAGCGGCGCTACATTTAAGCAATTGTTGCGGTAGCGATAGCGCTCGCTACTTTTAGAGCATGTAGCGGTAGCGGCCGCTACATTTCAAAGTAGCGCTGCCCAGCTCTGCAATCTAATGTAATATTAAGTCGCTTGATTCACGATCATCACGCCTCCTCGGTATTATGCTTTCGTACAATATTCTATTGCTATTTCATATCTCACCCCTTATCTGATGTTTTGTGTTCGTTATCAATAACCTGCCAATTTTATCTGAATATCCATCCTTCCTAAAGTTCTTTAGTTCACAATCACATTGTTGCGTTTGAAATATTTTCCATGGGAGCTAAAAACGTTATACAGCGCCAAATATTAGATCTGTTCAGTGTTCACATAATACTTCGATGAAAAATTGATCTGATATCATTTCTGGCGTTAGCCGTTACCATTAAAAACTATCAAATTTATAAAACTACAATCAATATTTCTGTATTGTTTTGCCAAAATGTCATTTTTTAATAAAAAAATTTATCAATTTAAAATTAAGCCCAGTCAGATATCGCATCCAAGTTTCCAGAGGTAAATCTCTACATTGATGTACAGCACAACCTCGTACTGATGAATTTCGAGTACGAATTGTCGGCATGCTTGATGCCCAGTCTGGCCGCGGCGGCAAGTTTCGAGAGTTTAGCGGCGAGTGGCATGTTTGATTAGTTCAGAGGCGAATGGCATGCATGATGAATTTTTTATCAAGAGGCATGCTAGGTTGGTTAGTGGTGTAATGTTTAGTGAACTGAGTGACGAGTAGCATGCTTGATGAATTTTTTTATCGAGAGGCATGCTAGGTTGGTTTAGTGGTGTCATGTTTGATTTGTTCAGAGGCGAATGGCCTGCATGATGAATTTTTTATCAAGAGGCATGCTAGGTTGGTTAGTGGTGTCATGTTTAGTGAACTGAGTCGCGAGTAGCATGCATGATGAATTTTTTTATCGAGAGGCATGCTAGGTTGGTTTAGTGGTGTCATGTTTAGTAACTTAGTGGCGAGTATGTCTCTTATACACATCTAGATGTGTATAAGAGACAGCTGCGATGTCGACCAGCTGCTCATCCTGACTGGATATATTGTTAGGCAATTGCACATCAACTGTATAGAATATACCTGTATAGGTATATCTTTTCTATCAAACATTCGCAAACAATAAGGTCTCAAATCTGCGCTGAATTACTGTGAAATATGATTGAAAACTCTTTATTTACCGTTGTAGACGAATTCGCATTGAGAGCGTCTTGTCGCATTATATGACATCAATCCTCATTGAAAATAATTTAACATGAAATATTTTAAACCCGCAACTTTACTCGTTATTATTATATTATATTATCGTTATTATATGAGCGCTATCTGCTCCCTCATCATTGATTGAGCTCAAGGAATCTTAAATAAAATGCGGGGTGCTGCTGTAGCGCACAGAAATTCAGTGGAGCTGGAAGTGNAGTTACAGGCGGGCTTGCTTGCGTTTCTAACTTACAAGACTTAAACGCACGACGTTGTGACTATGGTTGAATTGCATTAATTCAGCCATAGGTGTGACAAGCTAATGATTGGACAAGCTAAGGATTGGTTTACGAAGCTTTTTGAACCCTTCAATAAATACAGATGTTTATACTATTGAATTCTAAAAAGTTACTAATTATGGAATTTATTGTGATTGGTGTTAGCCGAAAAAATGATTTTTGTAAGCAAAATAGAAAAAGAATTTGTGTCACTTTACCTTTTAATTCAATAATTTTTATAGTTTTGGAGCAAAATGTAAATCATGATGTAGTAAAAAGTAACGATTTAAAATGTTATGAATGCTATAAATCAGTAATGTATACGATAGTTTTACAAACATCTTAGTCATACACTTTCTTAAAACTTTTGCTTATTTTTTGGAATAAATCGAAATTTTCTTCAAATTTTGCATTACTATATTCTGCTAGACTTTCCATGCTAAAGATAAATCTACTCTGGGGTTCCCTCTGAAAATTATGGGGTGATTCGAATTTTCCACAATTATTTCCCCATTTATTTCCATTATCTATTCCCTTTGAAAAATAAGTTGGAAATTGAACGATGAAAGTCGATCCTCATGAAAGATTGTTTTAGAATAGAATAGAATAGAAGTGTCGGTGCTGAAGAAATAGGCCCATGGCCTGTTGCCGATTCTTGAACTTTTCGTGACTTGATTCACAAGGGATCCGGCCTTTGGAACCCGATCTTTCCATAACTGACGATTGATTGAGATAGCTGCTGGACTTATTGCCTGGTCCGTAATTTGCTAGGCATTTTAAGACTGAACATATGCTCCTGCATAGCTTCGTCTAGTCTGTCATGGAATATTGTTCACGATTGAATAATAAAATCCGAGCGGTGGCATGTAGAATGAAAGAAGAAACCTGTTGGTTATGCAAGCTGATTAAGACAATCGCAATGAAAGGAAGGGTAATGTTGAAGTTAATTGGTATTTCGTAGCGTATTTTGCTTGATTGAAAATTATTACCTGAATACTTTTCACATTCCAAAATAGAACTTTCAACGCATTTTGTAAGCGTGACCCAACCTCTTGATCCAGGCCAATGTCATTGCTGTGAATTTAAAAATGAAAATTAGTGGGATGAAGAAACAATATACATTCATTCCGGGTCTTTGTTGAATTCTTTGCATCGGTTTACAAGCTCTCGTTTCAAACTTTTTTTTTAGTTTTACAAGTTATGAGCCGCCTACAGAGAACTTAATTAGATGCTAGGATAGAAAAAAAGTTTGTATGTATACATATTTTTTATATATAATCATCACTAGTGAAAAATAAATTCAATACCTGGGCAGGACACTGATATTTGGTGATGATAGCGATCACTAGCGCGTCAGGCCGAATCAACTATCGGTTGCCTTTCCCATGAAGTTGTCGAGACGCCGCCTGCTGACTACATGCGGTAGGCGAGTCGCGTGCAACGAAATGTTAACGATCTCTCGTTTGTCTGATGGCGTCACCAGTAAATTTTAGTTCCAGATTAGAAGAAATAGTGCCCCATGTTCAGTTAGCTTTTGAAAATCAATATTGGTAGCTGAAGTCATTCTTTTACTGATTTATTTGACCCGCTGATCGATCCGATGCATGGAAATGGGAAACGACATCGAAGGCTGCTGCTTGTAGCCACAGTGTGTCTTTTCGTAGTCTTCATATTTCACAACAGTCGATTATTTATTTGGAATTCGCATTCTTCTGGATGGAATAGTACAAAATATGAAGCCCGTCGAATGAGCGAGAGAGTAAAAGGTGGAGTTGGCCGGGTTATTCATCCGATTTATCACGACATTGAGCTACCGTGGTGGGAACGGTTAAACATTTCGAGCTGCAGCAAATTAGGAGACAACGTAAAGCACCCCAGTCGTGCGGCAGAACATTTACCCGCCCCTTACAATGGCAGCAATTTTTTTCCACGGAGCGGTAACTGTGGACGACGAGCATCGCTGCTCGGGGACAAGCAGAAAGTTGTATCTTTCTCCGTGTATGGAACAAATCAAAAGTATTACAATGGATTAGTGTTCGTACTTGATGATATTCAGCAATATTATCCGGGTTGGAATATCCGCATTCACACACTCCCTAAAGAACACTACTCCTTTTTCTGTCCTCTGTTGATGAAGTATCCCAACTTGGCCTTGTGTGATGCCGAGAACCTGCCTGAGCCTCTGGGTGACGTGTCGATGTTGAACCCAATGCTGTGGCGCTCGTCACCCATGGGGGACCCGCAGGTCGAGCGGTTCATCGTCAGGGACTCAGATGCCCAGGTGAGTGTGGGTTGTATAATTATAAAGATACCGGTAGTAGTTTAGTAGAATAGAAATTCCTGAATTTGTGGTTAGGATATTTCAAGAAGAGTTTCTATTCTATACTCCACTCAACTAGTCATACTTTGCGAACAGCTATCCTTAAGAAATAAATTTCGCACGCTTAAGAGACAGCATTTGAAGGATATCTAGAAAATATAGTCTTCACTCACCGGAATCATGGAAACGGAATGTAACTGTTCAAATAATGAATCGTACTACTCACCTTTATTATAAAAATACTGTACCTAAATCCATTACCTGCGTGATGAGAGACTGACAGTTATAGTCGGCTTGCTTGCGTTTCCAACTCACAAGACTTTAAACGCTCGAGATTGTGGCTCGTGTGGCAAGCTTAGGATTGATTTACAGAAGCGTGTTGCAACCTACCATAAATACAGATTTATATAATTGAATTCTAAAAAGTTACTAATTATGGAATTTATTGTGATTGCGAAAAAATGATTTTTGTAAGCAAAATAGAAAATGAATTTTTGTCACTTTACCTTTTAATTCAATAATTTCTATAGTTTTGGAGCAAAATGTAAATCATGATGTAGTAAAAAGTAATGATTTAAAATGTTATGAATGCTATAAATCAGTAATGTATACGATACTTTTACAAACATCTTAGCCATACACTTTCTTAAAACTTTTGCTTATTTTTTGGAATAAATCGAAATTTTCTTTAAATTTTGCATTACTATATTCTGCTAGACTTACCATGTTAAAGATAAATCTACTCTGGGATTCCCACCGAAAATTATGTAGTGATTGGAACTTTCCCTAATTATTTACACATTTATTTCCGCATTTATTTCCATTATCCATTCCCTTTGACAAACGAAGTGGCAATTGAGCGATGAAACTCGATCCTCATGAACGATTGTTGTGTTGCAGATTTTGTTGCAGGTTGGCCTGTTTTACTGGAAAGAACTTCAAAACTGATTACTATTTTCATGTTGCCGATGAGAAAACTGAAATTTATTAGAAGAAATATGGGACTGATGGAATTGTGCATGTTAAACTGAAATTTATTATAGGAAACATGGGACTGACGGAATTGTGCATGTTAAACTGAAATTTATTATAGGAAACATGGAACTGATGGAATTGTTTTATTGCAGATGAACGAGCGGGAGGTTGCGGCCGTGAACGAGTGGATAGCGTCAGGTAAAGCGGTGCATCTCATGAGGGATCATCCGAGTCACAATGCACCCATCTTGGGGGGCATGTTCGGGGTGTACCAGCCCCCCGACATGCTTCATGTCTTCGAGGACATCCTTCACGATCTTTTCATCTTGCCTTCAAAAATTGATCAGACTAATTTAGCGGTAAGTTAACAATGGGAACGTGATGATAACAATGGCTACTAATAAATGTATAAATAAATCATTTTATATTCAAGTTTTGATAAAATATGTCTTTGTGCATTTTATGCGTACTAGCAATGCTATGCAAGTAGCGACAATTAAATCTTTTTTTGAGGGAGGACTATTGTATCAATTGACATGATTAAATTGACTTGTAAGCACTCAGCTGGAATCTCAGCTTAAGTAGCAGCTGGAACGGTTAACCTAGAAAATAAGTATATAGTATAAGTATATTTGTGTAGTTTGGCAGAAGCTGTTCTTTAATGCAGGTTTCATTGAAGACCAGAGAGTATTTCTTATTGACAATTTTATTGACAAAAATTGTCAATAAGAAATACTCTCTGGTCTTCAATGAAACCAGTATAAGTATACTATACTTATTTATATAGTATAAGTATACCATACTATACTTATTAAAATAAGTTTAGCATAAGTATACTATAAAATAAATATATTTGAATAAACAATCGTAACGATCCTGTCGGACCGCAGAAAGTGATGACGAGAAGCTTCCTAGACGAGCACGCGTTGCAGCACAGCAGCTTCCACTGCACGCTGGCCGGACGGAGCCTGCCGTTCCCGACTCAGAGACAACATGGCTTCTTCGTGGGCAACCCTTGGTGAGTGACAAGCTCACTTTACTACATAACATAACATATAACATAACATATTTTTTTTTTAAAGGCCTCCCACACTCACCATTCCAACAAAAAAAAGGAATTGATTTTATTAATTAAAAACAGGGAATGGTTTCATGTCAATGATCAGGGCCCCGACCTTAACGCCTCTGATGGTGGCCTACACATAACATAACATATTGATCTCAGCGCTGAAGTGTAGGCCTGATGTGGCCTGTCGCCTATTCTTTTCCTTTTCATGCCTTGTTCATAGATCTAAACTCGTGTCATTTGACCGGATCTTTTCATGACTGACGATAGTTTCAAGTAGCTACTAGACTTCCACCGGGTTCGATATGGTGCTAGGCATTTCAAATCTGAACATATATTTTTCCATAGCTTTATCTAGTCTCTTCTTGAACGCGTTACTACGATTTTTTTCGAATAAAAAATTCTGTAAACTTTAATCTAGGTACACAATTATTTTGTTTTGTAACTTGTTCGCGTTTCACTATGCGGTATTTTCTTAAGCCTTCATATATTCTAATTTCAAAAAACATATATACAGGCAAGTGCTAACGAATACACTCGAATTTTTATCATGTATGAAAATTTTATTCATCTGACCGGAATGCGTAGATTTTACGTTATCGATAGATTCGTATTTTTATTTTACAACCTTTCTCACATTTTCCCAATATCCAAGTTACATTATTTACTTGTGACTAATTGTTGCCAGTCGAGATATTACGTGTTCAGAAAAATAGCTATGGTTATTTTTCGCTATACCGATGCTAACTAACAATCGAAAGCTCCACTGCCCCTTCTTCCCTACCTTTTTTATAGTCCGGACAACCGTCTTATTTTAAAATCTTCAGCTATCAATGATCATCTATTAAAAATTTTAGTAATTAAATTTTATTTATTATATTGATCACTTATTATTTGTAATTTTTATCACTTTTAACTATTACTAATTACTTATCAACTATAAATAATCACATTATCTTAAGTAGACAACTAGGAGAGCGCGCTAAAAACTCTCCAATTAAGAAGGGTCATTGGCGCACTCATATTGTAAGCGATCTCTGTATTTTCGTTCGCAAATTCATTGACGAATAACATTATACGGATTCAAATTCTAATTTCAACCATTTCGAGAGTATTTATTATGCACATGTATGAAAATTTAGCCTTATTATGTCCAAATAGTTGAAGCTTACGTCTGGGCAGGTATCGACCAGAATATTGTTGCGCCCCAATGACCGAGGAGTGCCCACTGCGATGTCGACCAGCTGCTCATCCTGACTGGATATATTGTTAGGCAATTGCACATCAACTGTATAGAATATACCTGTATAGGTATATCTTTTCTATCAAACATTCGCAAACAATAAGGTCTCAAATCTGCGCTGAATTACTGTGAAATATGATTGAAAACTCTTTATTTACCGTTGTAGACGAATTCGCATTGAGAGCGTCTTGTCGCATTATATGACATCAATCCTCATTGAAAATAATTTAACATGAAATATTTTAAACCCGCAACTTTACTCGTTATTATTATATTATATTATCGTTATTATATGAGCGCTATCTGCTCCCTCATCATTGATTGAGCTCAAGGAATCTTAAATAAAATGCGGGGTGCTGCTGTAGCGCACAGAAATTCAGTGGAGCTGGAAGTGATCCTCTGATGTGTGATGGTAAAAAATAGATCATTTAATGATTTTAATCTTTCACAAATGTGATGAATTTTTGGAAATGAATGTTCCTAAGCGTGTTCTGTTTGAAATAGTCGCCACTAAAGGCTTGCCTGTAAGTAACTATTGTCGCTATCGAAGGTCTTGTATTAGAGGAAAATAATCTGATCCTACCGTATATGAGGCTGTAAAAATCGTTTANTATCGAGAGGCATGCTAGGTTGGTTTAGTGGTGTCATGTTTAGTGAACTTAGTGGCGAGTAGCATGCTTGATGAATTTTTTTATCAAGAGTCATGCTAGGTTGGTTTAGTGGTGTCATGTTTAGTGAACTTGGTGGCGAGTAGCATGCATGATGAATTTTTTATCAAGAGGCATGCTAGGTTGGTTTAGTGGTGTCATGTTTAGTGAATTGAGTGGCGAGTAGCATGCATGATGAATTTTTTTATCAAGAGGCATGATATAGGTTGGTTTAGTGGTGTAATGTTTAGTGAACTGAGTGGCGAGTAGCATGCTTGATGAATTTTTTATCGAGAGGCATGCTAGGTTGGTTTAGTGGTGTCATGTTTAGTGAACTTAGTGGCGAGTAGCATGCATGATGAATTTTTTATCAAGAGGCATGCTAGGTTGGTTTAGTGGTGTCATGTTTAGTGAACTGAGTGACGAGTAGCATACATGATGATCATTTAGTAGCGGATGACACGTTTGGCGATTTATGCGAGAAGCTGGGAAGAATTTCAACTCTAACTATGTTAGCGTGGATATGCTGGTATTATAAAACTATCAACGAATCTTCATCCTTACGAATCTATCACCCTTAAACTTTACGGACTTATAGCCGGTGCAATCAAGTCGTGTTTTGCAAAAATATTTTCAAGGTTTTTTAATGTGGATGTTGAAGGTAAAGCTAAAAAAATAGTAACTCAATTGTTCTTCATATTAAAAAGGAAATAATTTTCGAATGTGTAAAAGAGTCATTCAGCCATCAGTACTTGTATATCATCGCTTCATTTGCATGAAAGTTGAACGGGAGTTACAGCCTATGCCCGTAATTGCTAACTGCTTTACTAAAAATCATGTCTATTTAAATTGCAAATTTATTACTATCCTGATAATATTATATTGAGCTAAAAATCTCCGATAAATCATACAATTTCCTTATTATGTCTGGCATTGTAAGATCGCCTCTTTAGACATATCAATGTGATAGATAATAAGACTAATAGTAAGATGATCATATTTATTCTTCCCAGAAAGCATGCGTACAAATTTGCAACAAAAATGAATTCGTACTGAAAAAATAGTTTGAATTAAAATTGAATCTACGTGAAATTGACACTTGAAATTTAAAAACATGTTTTTTGTGGCCGGTGCATCAACAAACCAGCTTAAAAATTCACTAAGAATTCAGTCGTGGTTCAATTAAAACATGCAATGAAAAAATCATGAAATCAATTTCTGAATGAGAACAAGTAGCTGATCATGGAAACTTATTCTCAAGGAACGTCAATGCCAATTCAAAATAAATTTTCTCCAGCAAAAGGTGGTATCGTTACTCCCTTAACAAATCCATTGCTATCTTCCATCCAACAAGCGTGCAGGAAATTTTTCGTTAGGTTTTGCACCTCAAAGACACAATCTCCTTTGGGCTCCAAGAGGAAGTTGACGAACAAATTTTTCCTCCGCTTCAATGCCTGGAACATTGTTTCACCAATAACGTCTTGTACTTTTGTCATTAAATTATTCCTTTGAACAGAAAAGCGCTGGCAAACGAGCACAAAATGATGAACGTAGTCATTGCTTAAAGCGACGCGACGATTACAAAATCGGCATGTTTGGGCTTGGGTTCCTTCGCCAGTATAAGCGACTTTCCGAGTTCTGAAAAGCTGGAGTAGATTGTGCTTTAATTGCCAATCCTTCGAGGGATCGATGATTTCGAAATCTGACTCCTCTGGGTTGAGCACAATCGGTACATTAATTTCATCGGTCGCCCTCGCACCATCACCATCGAAGAAACCGTACTCCCGTAACCTGACAATCTCTTCCAAGCCCGAGGGATATCGGAGACGAGTGGTGGGCCCGACACGTATGCGAGTCATTCTGTTCATGAGATAGTCATCCTGCGTCCCGGATCCGGAGACGAAGTTATCCATGCCATGGTCGTCGTTGACGGTAGGGAGCTCTGTAGCAATTGACTGGTTACTTTGGTTTGCAGAACTTGGTTGAAATTGATCCAACGTAACGTGTCCGGAGACGAAGTTATCCATGCCATGGTCGTCGTTGACGGTGGGGAGCTCTGTGGCAATTGATTGGTTACTTTGGTGCGCAGAACTTGGTTGAAATTGATCAACGACTTGAAATTGATCCAACGTAACGTATCCGGAAACGAAGTTATCCATGCCATGGTCGTCGTTGACGGTAGGCAGCTCTGTGGCAATTGATTGGTTACTTTTGTGTGCAGAACTTAGTTGAAATTGATCAACGACTTGAAATTGATCTAACGTCACGTATCCAAGGGCGAAGTTATCCATGCCATGGGCGACGTTGACGGTAGGCAGCTCTGTGGCAATTGATTGGTTACTTAGGTGTGCAGAACTTAGTTGAAATTTATCAACGACTTGAAATTGATCCAACGTCACGTATCCAAGGGCGAAGTTATCCGTGCCACGGGCGACGTTGACGTTAGGGATCTCTGTGGCAATTGAACGGTTACTTTGGTGTGCAGAACTTGGTTGAAATTGATCCAACGTCACGTATCCAAGGGCGAAGTTATCCGTGCCACGGGCGACGTTGACGTTAGGGATCTCTGTGGCAGTTGAATGGTTACTTTGGTGCGCAGAACTTGGTTGAAATTGGTCAACGACGTGACCGCTTGAACTTTGACTCTCATGTGTCATAGTGTCTGCCGTCGACTGGTCCAAATAGTTAATCAAATCAAAATCTTCGTCAACAAGACAATTTTCATCGCTCTCAAACACCACATCGGCTGGTATATCCAATTCAACATCAGATATGGACACCATTGTATTATTCATGTCTTCGATTATATCCATCCTGGATTTCTTGTATGTAATGGATTATTCGTTGGATGGGACGTTGAATTCGCGCAAGTGACTGTTCTCAAGTTACCCTAAGTCGTGAAGGTTGAACTTGTGTTTATGTTTTTGATAGAGTCACACTTGGCTGGTTATTTCACTTATTTACACTTTAAACGATGTGTCGCGACAACGGTAGCTTCAAATTCGTAAATTATCACTTGTAACTTAAGAGAGGCTGCACTTTCAAATGTTTGGAGAGATTTCAGAAACAAGCACTCCTTCAGCAGAGCTACCTCAGTGGACGATTCCGATGAAAATGCTGTTTGTAGCACAAACAGCTCCTTATATACCCAAAATGATCCCAAAACCTAATCGTTCTTATTGTTTCTACTACAAAGAAAACGTATTTCGACCAATGGCGAACGTCAGTGTCAGCACGGACCAAGACGTTGTTAGACAAAAAAGGAAGGTAGCAGGTAGATGAGCTCGGTAGAGATTAGTTTTCCAGGCTGATATCGACAGATCTCTACTAGAATATTTTGACTTATAAACCTTTGATTTGTCACGCTGGTCGTGAGTAAATTTCTGGCATGATTCTGGCGCTGTGGTCAGATGAACATATTTAACTTGTGTATATAATTGGATTTTGTAACCTCGACCCTCAATCCTCTTAGGGATGTTATTTCGTAGCAAAAATCAGTTTAAACATCATTTCAATGACGTATGTGATTGATGGAATTTGCCTTGATGATAGGTTTTACATGCGTAAGTGACTCGGCTGATTTCTGGATTAATACAGCATTAAATTGAAAGCTCAAATATTTAAGCCATTTATTTATTTTAATGTTTGTTCGTTTTTCTTTGTGTGCGCGTTCATTTCCGCGCTTAGATCGTTTGAATATGTGTTCTTAATTGAGCGTGAACTTGTTTGCGAGACCGCTGTGGTCAATATGCTAGCCCCATGCCATCGGTATGATCCAATTTAGGACCTGCAATTGCATTTTCGTAGCAAAATTTTCAGGAGTTGGAGAAGTGATTTAAAAAAATTAAATTTATTCAGCAGTTTACCAAAATTGAATTTGAATTGGGAATAAAAAAATATTTTGATTAAAGAAATTTAAAATTAGTATTTTATTCGACACAAAAAAACTGATTGTTCAATTTATGTTATTTGCAAGATTAAGATTTAAAGCAAGGCATTATTTCGTTGCCATAATTAACAATAACATATAATATCACCATAATTAATCGGACAGCAGGGGAAGATGATCGTTACGTAGCTAATAAAAGACCAATCAGACACTCAGTGATTGCCTATCATGAGCCACGAAGAGCTCACCTGCTACAGTGTTAGAAAAGTTACCGTTAACGGTATTACCGGCGTTTCAGTGGCCGGTCGGCACGTGAAAAGAAACACCGTGTCGCCGTTTTTATTCTAATTTAACACTATAAATCCGTAAAACATCTGATAAAAACGGCGTTCAGTTTATTTTCACTGGGCGACCGGCCACTAGAACGCCAGTGGACCGTTTTTTCACCGTTTTTCTAACTGTTCTTTGCGCTTGAGGAGCATCGGTCATAAGCGTTGGAGACAAATGACGTACGACCAAGTGATTAGTACAATGTACGTAAATGAATTGTGCAATGTAATAAAATGACGTGCACAATATAATTAAATGACGTGTACAATATAATTAAATGACGTGCACAGTATAAATAAATGACGTGCACAATATAAATAAATGACGTGTACAATATAATTAAATGACGTGTACAATATAAATAAATGACGTGTACAATATAAATAAATGACGTGTACAATATAAATAAATGACGTGTACAATATAATTAAATGATGCACACAATATAATTAAATGACGTGTACAATATAAATAAATGACGTGTACAATATAATTAAATGACGTGTACAATATAATGAAATGACGTGCACAATACAAATAAATGAAACTGTTGTGTATTATATATTTGACTGACGCTAATGCTATTCTCGAATTATATCTGTATTAATATACCCAAATGACGGGTGGAAATATTCAAATATTATGAGTAATATATTTAGATTATGTGTATAATATGCTTACGGGAATAATAAATTCAAATACCGTGCACAACGTACTCAAATGATGTGCGAAATGTA